TTTTCAAGCTAGGAATATACTTTCTTTAATAGGTGCTATTCAAATTTTATATTTCCTCCAAAGTTAGTTTCATTAATTTGTCTTCCAAGGTACTTCTTAGAAATTGTCAAATTTATTTCAAAAAAAATTTTGTAATATGCTTTCTATATGCTTTTAAATTCTGTTAAATCTATGGTAATGTCTCCTAGATCTTAATATTGTAATTTTAAAAATGTATAACTGATATTGTGTAACAGGAGGAAAAGGTCTAAAAGAACAGGGAAATTGGGAGGGGTAGGGGAAGGGAAAAAAGGGAAAGGAAAAAATATGAGAAGAGGAAAAAAATGGAAACAAGGTCTTTGCAAATAGGGAACGGTGGAGGGGGTGAAGGGAGGTCAAAGGAAGGGGAAAAATATAAGAACCAAGATACTCATGTAATGGTACAAGATCCCAATATGAATGTAACTGTATTTTATACCTAAAATGTACCCATAAAGTTAATGGGGAAAAAAAAAGAGTTAAAGTCACTTCAGACATCATCAAATTATAAGCATAACCCCTGACTAGGCCACTATTTTCTAGTGTTTTATGTAAAACTCAAAATTGAATTGCCAACAGACATGGAAAATTAAATTCCCTTGAGAAAGTTGCAAGAGCCTACATTTTGCTATAGGAAAAATAGAACATTAATGGAAGTTGCATAATATCTGTCTTTTTTAATCAAAATCTCAACCGGGCCCTAAATAACAGCATGCCTCAAAGGAAGCACCACTAAGAGAGGAAGAAATACTCCCCTTTGGGTGAGACCTGTCCTGTCTATCAGGAACTGGTATGATGGATAAAGGATGCTCAACCAGGGAACCAATCTCAGCTTTTAGTGTTTAAACATGCATTTAGGCTATTTATTTGCTCTTGGAGATTTGACCAAAGAAACCACCAAAATGGGTTTTTAAGTACTTCAATTTCTAGGCTTATAGACCTAATAAAATGAAGAACTAACAAGCTAAAGAAAAGGTAGTGAGATAAAGTGACACATGCCCTGAACTCAGAAGATGTGGCTTGGCCTTGAAGCTCCACCAAACACCAGTTCTGAGACTTGGATAAGTAATTTAACCTCAGTGTTCTTATGTGCAGAAGGAAGGTAATAATAAAACCTGCTTCTCTGGGTTGTAGTAAGTATCACCATACAGAGAAAGAGCTATACTTGACATTAGTTATTACTTCATCACCATCCCTATTGTGGACATGTGATTAAGAAAGGAAAGACCAGAGGCTATCTTTTAAGATGTACCAGTTATTTGCATATATTTCCTCTGCCAGTTGGCCTTAACACAGGGTCCAGCCTTCAGAAATTTAGACTCAGAACCCATATCATTCAGCAGCAGGATAAAATAGACTCTCATTTGCAAAGTGGAATCATGTCAACCCAGTCCAATGGTACTGATATATAAAGCCAAAATCATAATTTAATTGATTTGCAGTGAAAATTAGTTGGTACATGGACATAATACATTATTTTATATGTCCAGCCCATTCTTTCCCTGAAGACAAATCTGCATGGAAAGCAAAATCACAGGCAGAAGGGGAAAGTTTGCTTGAGGACATAGACATATTTCACATAGCGATCTCTCTAAAGAATCTTGGGTTTGGATCCCTGTAATCCCAGGTACTTGTGAGACTGAGGCAAGAAGATGGTGAGTTTGAGGCCAGCCTGGGCAACTTAGTGAGACCCTGTCCCAAAATAGAAAGTGCTGGGGATGCAGTTCATTACTAGGCCTGGGTTCAATCTCCAGTACCAGGGTGGGGGGTGAGAGGAGATTTAGGGTATTCTGGTTATGGGCCCACCTGAGAGGTGGAACTGGTCCTTGACATTAGAACTTTGACTTACCATGTAACTTCCCCTTCTCCACTCTAAAGGAGGTGACCAATGAGATTGGGGCAGAAAATGCAAGCAAGAAGGTGGCAGGATATGAAATTGAAAAGTAAGCAGAACTAGAGAACTGTCTTTTCCAAAGATAACTACTATAATATTTAGAAACATCTGTGAATGCCTTTTGGTTGTTACATGGAAGAAGTTCTACAGGTTTTCCTGACTTCAAGTTGAAGAGGAAATACCCTCCAGGATGACTCCTTTCCGGAAGACTCTCCCATTATTTAGAAACTCCTCTCCATCACCTATCTCCCCAGCTACCATGGTCTGAGCCTGAAGTTGATCTTTTTGTATTTTGTTACTCCATGCCTCTTGCAGGTGTTACAACAAATCTTGACAGGAGTATATTTGGGGTGCAGAGTAAGTTGCCAACAGCCTCGTTTAAATGGCACATTAGCATGTGTCAAAGCAGGTAAAGGTGAGCTCCTATGTTTTTGTGAGATTATTATATGATTCTTGAACTAATAATCAGTACACTTCTTATTACTAGACTCTGTCTGTCCTTTCCATTTAAATGTTCACATACGTCTGTCAAGATCAACACTGGCTTGATATATAGACATAGACAAAATAATCACCTGACCTAACTTCTCAAAAATTACTGTTTAAAAATGCCCACAAAGACTTTTTTTTTATAAATCAGTCTTATACTTCTGTCAAAAACATTACGATCTCTAATGATCTAAGTCATTATTGCTCAACTATTTTAAAAAATTAATTTAAAAATACTAACAGTTGCCAACCAAAAAAGATGAAATAATTAATTGTACCAAATAAAAAGACATAAAGAGAAAAATCGATGAACATGTGGAATAAGAAAGTACATAAATTTAAACAAGAAAAAAGGAAAATGAAAAATATTTCATTATTTGGTGTTGATAATAATAAATATTTATGAAGTGACACCTATATGCAAGGCATTGCTCTGCTATCTCTATTACTATCTTGCATAACCTTCACAAGGTCCTCTTATCCTCACTTTACACGCAATGAAACAAAACAAGCAAAAACCACAGAGATTGTGTATTTCTTTTGAGAAAGAAGACATTATTTTATTTTCTCTGTCACTTCAGGCCACTTTTTACATAAATAGATGTGTTCACATATGATGCAATATTGCCTATAGTGTGCTGTGCCTGGACAGAAGGCACTGAAACTTGTTGAGTAGTGTACAAATCTTATATGACAATGGCAACATGGATCACTCTTTAAGAAAACCAGGCACACTGTGAAAACCTATTGTGTAACACACAGGTCAAATCATTCCCCTAAAATGTAGCGCTGCATTGTCAAAAGTTCAAGAAAGCTTGAAAGAATTGAGTTGGCCTGTAAAGTCAGTTTAAGGCCAATTTTCCAATGCCACATTACAAAAGGGCTGCCCTGTACAACACCTAACAATAAGAATCAATGAGCATTAAATTAAGATGAGTTAAGAGTCTGAAAGAAGGTGGTAGAACAGGCAGCTGGCTGAGGTTTTGCCTTCCATTATAGTGAAATATTTCATCTTCCTCAGCAAGTGAAATGACTAGCCAACACCTAATTAAACTGCACAGTGAGTGTGCTGTGCCGCCTGTAAAGAATGACAGACATATTGCCTCACTAGTAGTAAGCTACAGAAGTCAATAGCTGACATTTACTCAATGAAATACAAATTGAGATAAGCTAGCTTCACTTTTTATTCAGCAAATTCAAGTCTGCAATCAATTTCTGTGCATGTATAGACTATGGAAATTGGCTTTAAATTGACTTGTTTCTTCCTAAGCTAATTAGAGTATACAAGTAAATGAATAATCAATTGCTAATGCTATTCTTACCATATATATTTCAATGAACAAAACAATTCTGTCAAAGATGGGTATTATTGTGTTCTTTTCAAAAAGAAGCTACTAAATGGTCCACGTACATTGTAAAACAGGAGCTAAAGATAATTTAAAAGACTTTCTTATTTCTTGAACAAATATAAAACCTCCCCTGCTGTTATTAATCTTATAGAAAGACCTCAAATGAACGAAAAGCCTTCCTAAAAAAAAATAGCTTTGAGCTCTCTCAGTCCTTATTGGCTTTACTGATGTAGTAGTTATTGCACAATGCCTAATAGTGAAGCCAGGAAATTCAGGTTCAAATCCTACATCCATCATCCCTTGACCTAACAATTCTACTTCTGAGTATGCAATACAGAGAAATGAGTGTTCATGTCCACCCAAAAATGTTATTTTAGGCCTTTATTTTTCACAAAAGCTCAAAACCAAGAATTCTCCTAATGTCCATTGACCACAATAGGCTCAAACAAATTGTGGAAAATTCATACAGTGAAGTAGTACACAGCAGTAAGAAAGCACAAACTACTGGAGTACACAGCTGAATGAAGCTCATACACATAATTCTGAGCCAGTATGAACTATATTATTCTATTTATATAAATCTCAAATATTCTATTTATATAAATCTCAAAAAGTAATAGATGTGAAAGATGTTTGAATCATTGGTTTCATTTTAAATTTTTTAAATTTTAAATTATATATATTTAAGATATGTAGAGAAGTTTTAATATACAGAGTGAACTGGTAACTATAGATGAGCTAAAGCTAAAAAGCTAACTTTTCTTTTTGTGGTGTGGACATTTACATCTATTCTCTTAGCAAACTTTAAGTATATGATCCACTAATATTAACTATAGTCATCATGTGTAAATTAGTTCTGTACAACTCATTCACCCTACATAAGTGAAGCTTTGTACCCTTTGACCTACATCTTCCCACTTTCCCTATCCTTCACTCTTGGTAATTACCATTCTACTCTTTGCTTTTATGTACTTGACTTTTTTTTAGACTGCACAAGTTTACATGGTATTTTTCTTTCTGCATTGGGTTTATTAACATAGTGTCCTCCAGTTTCATCCAGGTTCTTATAAATGGTAAAATTTAGTAAGTTTAAAGTTGAATAATCTCATATCTATATATATATTTATGGCAATGCCATACAGGCATTTCACATATATATCACAATTTCTTTAATTCTTTTTTCTATTCATCCACTGACAGATACGAGTTTGATTACATACCAAGGTTATTGTGAATAATGCTACAATGAACATGGAGGTACAGATGTCTCTTAAAATAATGATTTCACTTTCCTTTGGATTGATACACAGTAACGGAGTTTCTGGATCATAAGGTAGTTTTATTTTTAATTTTTTGAGGAACCCTCCTACTATTTTTCATAATGGCAATACCAACTTATATTCTGCATAGTGCTTGCTGTTGGAAGAGGTATTACTTGGGAAGGTACATGAATGAAATTGCCCTTTCTAGACATGTTTCCTCATCTAAAAATTGGGTATAATAATGTAATTACTTCATGGAATGAATATGAGACATAAATACAATAATTTACATACAGCTTTTAGCAGAGAGTCTTATACATAGTGCATGTTTGATAAATGTTGCCTATTATTATTTCTCTCTGAGAATATAGTCATAAATGGACAAGATTTGGGAGTTATAAATTGCTTCAGGAATCATAATTAAAGTAGCAGCTCATATTATAAATATATATGAACCTGGTTTTAAGGAAAGCAAACATATATGATTTTATTTTTATAAATTTAAAGGAAAGTTTTAGCTTAAAAATGTTCACCACAGAATTCGTTTACATAACAAATCATATTTGGTCTTCCATATCTATGGGTTCTGCATCCATGAATTGAAAAAACTATAGATGAAAAAATTCAAAAAAATTACATCTGAATTAAACAATTACAAACTTTTTTCTTGTCATTAATCCCGAAACAATATAGTATAAAAACTATTTACATAGCCTTTAAATTGTATTAAGTATGGTAAGTCATGTAGAGATGACTTAAAGTATGTGGGACTATGTATGGGTTATATAAAAATATTACATCATTTGATAAAAGGGATTTTAGTATTCATGGGAAGTTCTAGAAAACAGCAAAACTATCCCCTGTGGATACCAAGGGATAGCTATACTCCAATAAATTTCAAAAATTACTAGATATAACCCAAAAGATAGGTGTCTACTTTACTTTTTGGTGTATTTTAAGTAAAGCAAAATACATTCACATTTGCAGCCATCTCTCTGGAGACCAGACCACTTGATCTGGAAAAGAGACATTTGACAGATAACCTGACCTCTGAAGATACCATGGGACCCAGAGACTATTTTTTAAAAAGTTAATTTTCTATTGGAGTTCCATGGATAAAAGGAGTTAAAAGTATTTACCAACTTCTTGCCTAAGCACGACTTACTGGTCTTGAAAACTCTTGAATCTTTCTTGGAAGAGTTTATGAGAAAGAGTAGGTAGTTTTATTCATGACTATTGCCAAAGTATCTCTAAGGTTATAGGACTGATTATGAGGACTATAAATTTAAGGTGTTAACTAGCACAGCTGAGACTTTGGAAATTCCCTAGCCTACAGAAAACCTTGTACTTGAAAATTCTTATTAGAAAATTTCCAAAGATTTTACAATAAATCACATAATATGTCAATCTACTTGAAATACATGAACTGATAAAAGCTAACTGCCACGGGCTAGGGAATTATAGAGAACTGATGAAAACATACTACCTCAAATTTACATAAGCTGAGTAGGAATAGTGGGGAACAGGCTCCCCTCAAGCCCCAGCACACGGAGGTGATCCTCAACCCACCTCTTCCAGACCAGTGCTTTCCATTATAATTTTCTGTTATGGAGGTGTTTTCTAGCTGCTCTTTAATTCTGGAGCCACTACACAGGTATGCATACTGAGCAATCAAAATGTGGCTACTGTAACCAATAAATCAACTTTTTATTGTATTGAATTTTAATTCACTTAAACTTAAACAGTAATTATTGTACTGGGCAGTAAAGTTCTTGCCTGTCAGATCTTAACAAACTCAGACTCTTTCAGTTGAAGACTTTAATGACCTACTCTTGAAGATCTAATTTTTCCCACAGCATGAGCCGGTCTTTTCAAAAATAAGGCACAATCCAGATGCTTCCATCCCACCACATGCCCAGTTTTGCTGCCCCTGGATCTGGTTATATACAGATGAGATCCACCTGCTCACATAGGCCCCGAGCCACTTCATTTTAGGTCTAGTTCTTTCTTTTGCTCCTGCTCTTCTGCCTCAGTTTCCTCCCAGCTTTCTGTTTACAGAGAGGTGAGGAGTCCTGTAGGAACTTTAACCCAGATGTCCTAAGCCATAATACATTCTCTTTAGTTGCCACTTCTGCTCTTTTAGCTCCAGCCTCTGACTGAGCTGTGGCTAGGAATGGAATGCAGTGCCCAGAAACACATGATTTTCACCGGGCCAAAATCTGCCACTGTTATCCTCATTAAACACTCAGCAACCCTCTCCAACACCAAGCTAGACAGATGATTTGGGTACCCTACACCTCAATGCTGCCTGTCCACAGCTTCTGCTTCTTCCTTCTTGGCTTCATGATTAAGGCTGGGTCTAGGTTCTTAATTCAGTCTAAAGTTATTCTGAAACAGAGTTGTATTCCCAACAGAAATACATATGCATTCAAAAGTAAATGAACAGGTAGAATGAATATTTTACTCGCATTTATAAATGATAGTAGAATATAAAATGTTTATTATATTCATGACAATAAAGACCATTTTTAAGATTTTCATAAAATATCATGAATTATAAAAGATCATCATGTGCTGTCATTGACCACTGACATAACTGAAGGAGACATAACAAAACTACAGGAGGCACATGCATATAACTTGGTTTACAAATACTTGACAGATATGTAAATGTATAGATTCCCAAAACATAGCTTTCTAAATGAGTTGCAGCCTTTCAGAATGAAGTGGCTATTTCTGAGGGATACCAAGGTGATCCGTCCCCTGAAGGATGATTTAATTCCTCATTCTGTCCAGAAAAGGGGCAGACAGCATTGCTGGCTTGTGGTTTTGAACTCTGTCATATACACTTGGCAGCTCTTCACTTTGGGAAGCAAAGACTTGAAAGTAACATCATTTGAGTTCTGAGTGCTCTGGTTGGAAATTCATACTTCTCAGCTGGGGAATCTGAGAGACCAGGGTCTTTGAAGAAAGTTCAATCCTGCAGGTATTTTCATGGTAAAAGATACTTGCTTGTTTGGAATACATGGTTTAATCTTTCAGGATCCTTAAATGTTTCTTGTTTTGAATACTCTGAAACAATTTGGAAATAAAGCAAAATAGTTTAAAATCTAAAATGAGAAAAATCAAAATGCTACATTGCAATGTACTTGAAAATGCAAACTACATTCAGTTTTGTGTGTACTGGTTTTCTAAGCTCTTTTCTAACTCTTTTCAGCCTCTGTCTTTTCTGCCAGTGATTCGTACCTCCACCTGCTGGCACACTGAGGAAATGAAGTGAAAATCAAATTCAAGCAAGTCAGTCAAATCATTTGCTGGAATCTTTGATGCAGGTTTGATGAAAGGAATGAGTGAAATTACAATCAACATGAAATTTCAGAAGATTAGCACTTATTAATCTATTCATTCTGTGTTAACTATTAAGAGCCATAAAAATGATCCAAAACCATTAATTAAACTTATCTTCCAGCCATCAGCTTTTAATTTAATTGTCATGCTATCACCCATGTGTCATCTTTCAACTGTCTCACTAAAACTTGTACAGAAAAATCAGGGAGTTGGAGTATAAACCAAACCATTAATCAATACATGTCATTCAAACTCAAACTTAGAAACATCCTCAGGAATGGAAATCAATCATAAATCTTTAAAGGACCCATAAAATAAGCGTTTAAAACTCCACTTGAAAATATGCAATAGCACATATTAAAAACATGAACTCCAGAACCAGATTTTCCCATTTGAAAACTAAGCTCTGCTTTTTACAGGTGGGGGGCATTGACCAAAGTACTCCAACAGTTCTGTGCCTCAGTTTCCTATATGTGAAATGGATTAAATGATCATATCTATCTATTAGTACTGTTATATGGATAAGTGGACTAATATTTAAAAGCATCTAGAACAGTTCCTAGCACACAGAGAGTGTTATTTTGATGTTTATTAAATAAATAAAAGGTTATTATGGAATATAGACAAGAGAAAATGTGTTTGTTGTTACCAAGAAACTGTATCCTCCCAAGCTGAACATACTGCCTTTCTCACATTATCATCTGCCACTGCAGATGTGAATCCACAGTGCCTACTTACTGTTACGTTAGGAAGAAGAAACTGAGTTAAGACCAGAATAGGCTGGTACTTCTCTAAACAGCAAGTAAACAGTAGGAGTTCCTGTAACAAATTACTTTATATTTTAAAGGCTAATTTAACATTAAATGACTTGAACGGATAAATTCATTGAAAAATCTTCAGGTTTTAAGGTGACACTAAAATTGGTGCTCGCTTCAGCAGTACATATACTAAGATGACACTAAAATTTTCCAAAAAGTAAAAGAATACAGTGGAACTTCTTAAAAACACACACACAATTTTACCCTAGTCTAAAATGTAACTGTGATCATAAGAAAAAAATCACACAAGTTGCAATGTATGTGCTGGTTAAACCACACCTTTCATTTTTTTAGTCAGTAAATTTGCTATTTTTGTTTTGTTTAGTTTTGTGTATATATTTGATGCTGGTGGTTCAACATGAAGAAGGGAAAAAATAAAATACAGACAATACAAAATAATACCAGGCAGTGATAAATGTTATAAAGGAAAATAAATCAGGGTAAAGAAGATGGACAGAAACAAGCAGGACAGGCAGCCCTGGGTATGAGAAACATCTTGAGTAGATGGGCATTTTAAAGCAGAGGACAAAACAAAGCAGGAAACAAACAATGTGGATATAGGAAAAGAGCTGACCAGTGAGGGAACAGTAAGACCCTGCAGACTGAGATGAGATATGCTTGGGGTGCTCAACAAACAACAAGGTCAGTAAGATGATCTAAGTTACCAAGAGGAACAGTCCTAGGAAATCAGGTAAGAAATCCAAGGGATCAAATAATGTAGGACTTTCTAGGCCATCTGTGGCTAATTTACAAATATGGCACTCAAAACTGTTTGGCAATTTTTCAGTGCGTTGGTAGGGACTTCATCTCCTCTCCTCAAAATTAGGTGGACTTCAGACTGCTTGGACCAAGCAGTGTCACTTTAGAATATGCATCATGAAAGATGTAACTTCTTTCTTGTTGGGTGAATCATTCATGTTTGCACTCCTGAACTGCCATGTGACTTTCCTGAGGTTGCCATGTTGTAAGGAAGTCAAGCCACATATAGAGGGAGAACGTAACCCCCATTTCCTCTCCCCCAGGTAAGCTTTCCTAGACTTTGAGTCATTGTAGCTCAGTAAACAGACATTTAACTAAATAGGCCTTCAGATGATTCCTTCCCCCAGCTATCAAATCCTCCCAGCTACGGCCCCAGACACTTGGGAACAGAGACAAGCCATATCTTCTGTGCCTTGCGCAAACTAACCCACAGAATCCATGGCATAACAAGATGATTGTTTAAGCCACCATGTCTGAGGATAGGTTGTTACTCAGCAGTAGTAACTGGGACACAATGACAAGGATTTAGGATTTAATTTTAAATGAGAAGACTTTGAAGAGTTAAAAAATGATGTATGATTTATGAAGTAAGATCAAGGCCAGTTCTTACATAGAGAATAGTTTGCAAAAGGACGAGAGTGGAAGCAGCGAGGCCAGTTTGGGGATTTTTCAGTTATCCAAGCAAAAGGTACTGGTCTATGGAATGGAGAAACAGAAATGCAGGTGGTGAGAAGTGATTTGATTGAGCATATATCTAGAAATTAAGCTAATCAGAAATTGCTTCTGGGTTAAAACTTGTGTGTGAGAAGGAAAGAATCAAGAATGCCACCAAGATTTTAGCCTCAGAAACAACTGAGTGAATAGAGGTATCATTTACTGAGATACAAAAGAATAGTTTGGGAAAATAGGAATCATTTACTTTCCAACTGTAGCATGTTCATTAGTCACCCAGATGGGAATACTGAGGAGGCAATTGAAAGAATGACTTCAGCACTCTGAAGATAGGCTCATTCTGTAGTATTATTCAACTCCAAATGCCTCATTGAAGGAACAATATCAACAAACTAGAGAATATTCAGAAGAATATAATTAGTATACTGATGCTTATAGTTGCCACCTCATTTTTTTTCTGGTACCGGGAATCAAACTCAGGACCTTGTGCTTGCCAAGTAGGAATGGTGCCACTGAGCTACCTCCCTAGCCCACCACCTCATTTTTTTTTTTGGAACCAGGGATTGAACTCAGGTCCTTCCACTTGCAAGGCAGGTCCTTCCACTGGCAGGGAACCACTGAGCTAAATCTCCAGCCCGACCACCACCTCATTTTTTTAAAAGCAGAAGGAATTAAACATAGATTGGGCAAAAAAAATTCTTTATGGTGAAAATGCATTTGAACCACTAGAAATCTCTTTAGGATTCATGTTTGAGTAAAGTATCTTCTTTGAGGGACTAAAGACCTAGTTCCTAAATAATTGTCTATCTTTCCCCACAGAAGCTGCACCCCAGGACCAGACATAATGCAGAGAATTTGACCATTACAGAGAATGTGTTTATAGGAAACCTTTAAATAACATGAATAGCAGATGGATTACATAACATAAGGTTGTGTCAGTGCATATTCTCTAAACAAAGTAAAGCCAAACAAAACCATGTATTCAGATCTTTGCAGCAAATGAAATCCTGACCTATATGAAATTTATCTCTTTTGAGAGATGGGTGCTTATTATTTAAGGCACCCAGTCTGGGGTATCTTATTATGGCATCCTGAAATGACTGAGGCACTCCCCTCTATGAAGGTTCAAGTGGGGCCACTTGTTTATTACTTAATTCAGTCAGGTATGGAAGTAAGGTGACTTTAGGAAGAAATTCAAAGTCATGGACTTGAACTTACCAATTTGCTTTGCAGTCATTTGATAGGATGCTTTTTTGAAGCCCTCTCTGCTGATATCAGAAATGCTGTCGTTCAATTCACTGTCTCCTTTTCCACTGTCCTTCACACTAAATTCATCTGGATTTGGATATGTCCCAGAAGTGAAAAGAGTTATCTTGCTATCCATTAAAAAAAATGTTCTAAGTGCCAAACACATTGCTTAGTGATAACAATAAATATTCTAAAATTACCTTAAACTTGCAGCAGATTTATCCTCTCTAGGAAAGGATGGGGAATGAGAAAGAACTGAGATTGAGCCCTATTTAAAAAGAGAGAGGAGCACAGCAGTTAATAGTATTTCACTTTTAGATATGGAGATGACAGAACAGGTTCCACATTCTTCTTCTAAAGAGCTTGAGGAAGACAGCATTGACCCTGAGGGAAGACTGCACCCACGAGGGACTGGGAGAGAGTCACCAGGGCCAATGATACAGAAGCAGACCTGGGCCTACAAAAATAGGTGGCTATCTGGCTTCTTTCTGTCCTCATCTGTGCAGCATTTTTCCTCCTAAGTTAAAAAGTACCTATACAAGTCCCCTCCCCCAAAATTAACCACTTGAAGACCCAGACATGATCAGACATTGAATTTTCATGAGGCCCCCGACATGAAAATCTAGTAACGTTCATGAGGACAATAACAGGCCAAAAGATGCTCTACCTGGGCAAGTGGGATCCCAGTCCTCTCCTGAGGAGAGGGACACAAAGATATTCAGGATCTCTGCAGAAATGGAGAACAGCGGTGACTCCATGAAGAATGTCCAGTTGAAGTCCTCAGGATTAGCTCTTAAATTTCTCTGACTTGGAGCAGCTTGGTCAGTCCTCGCCTGATACCCACTTGGCTAGCGCTCACAAAGCTTCTTCCTCTGCGACCTAGCCTTGCCCTGGCAGAAACAAGTCACACTAACAATGGCTACTGGCAGAAGGTTTCAGCCTCTGGCCAAGACACCGACCCAGACTACAGAAAGGTCAGGCTGCTGCCTCAGTCTGCCTGCTCTGTGCTTCTCACTTCCGGTCCCTTTCCTGGCTCCCTTGGCGGTGGCGTAGGCACCAGCACTACTTTACCGCCAGGTGGCACTGGGCCCGCGGGCACGAGAAGCAGTGTGGCAATGCAAGGCAGGGTAGGCCAACCTGTCCCGCACCATGATGACCACTGTCAGGGGGCCAGAGGGCTGCGGGGACAGGCAGAGCTGCAAGGACAGCTCATCTGTAATTGGCTGCAGCGCCACTACCCCGGGACCCCTGTCACTCCGGAGGAGAGTGTAAATCAGCTCAGCTTTGGAGTCCTTTGTCTTCTGCCTTCAGTGTGGACACGAGATAGCCCAAAGGCGCGTCCCGGGGCCAGAGGCACTTGGGCTGAATCATTGAAGAGTAGTGGGGCCACCAAGCGAGGTGCATGGTCCTTCAGATCCTCCAAGTGCAACCGTAAGAGACTCCTCATAGCTGTGGAGAGACAGTTCGGCCAGCTCCTCGGGGTCAAAGCCCCGTCGAGCGCGCAGCTCCCCAGTGACCGGATCCACAGAGATATAAGTGAACACGGCGTCCCCGGAGCGGCCCACCTCGGCCTATACCAGACGGTAGGTGACCTGGCCATTGCGGCCCAGGTCTGGGTCCCGGGCGGCCACGGTGGCCAGGTAGGCCCCGGGCGGGTTGTTTTCGGGCACCAACACCTCATAGACTGGCCGCGTGAAGAGTGGCGCGTTGTCGTTCTCGTCGCCCACTCGCACGGTGTAGGCCCTCTCTGTGCGCAGCGGAGGCGCGCCACGGTCCTCCGCCACCAGCGTCAGGTTGTACTCGGCGATGCGCTCGCGGTCTAGGGACGCCGCGGTCACCACCAGGTAGCTGCCCGTGTAGGCTGGCTGCAGCCGAAAGTGCTCGTGCCCGTAGAGGGCGCAGCGCACCTGCCCGTTGGCGCCCGAGTCCCTGTCCGAGGTGCTGACCAGCGCCATCAGGCTCTCGCGCGCCACCCCCTCCGGCACCAGCGAAGTGGCTCCGGCCTCAGGCGTCCCGGGGCCCGCCGACGAGGTGGCGTCCGCACCCCCGAGGGCAGCGGCGACAGCGGCGGCTGCAAAGGGCGAGGAGGCTGGAGCGCCCAGGGCAGCCAGAGGAGTGATGGAGATGTCGGGAGCGTTGTCGTTGACGTCGCGGATGCGCACTATGACCTTGCAGGTAGCAGCGCGCGGCCCAGCACCACGATCCTGCGCCCGCACGTCCAGCTCGTAGGTGTCCTGGCGCTCGAAGTTCACCGGCCCCGCCAGAGTGAGGCGGCCCGAGAGTGGGTCGAGCCGGAACAGGAGGCGCGCCTCCGGTGGGGTGCGCGCGCCAAAGGCGAACACCACGTCACCGTTGGGGCCCTCGTCCGGGTCGGCCTCGTCCAGGTCCAGGAGCAGCGAGCCCACGGGCGCGTCCTCCGCCAGCTCCACCTCGGCCACGGCGCCCTGGGGGAAGGCCGGGCTGTGGTCGTTGGCGTCCAGCACGCGCACGCCGAGGGCTGCGGTGGCAGAGGGGAGCTGACGGAGGACGCGCCCCTGGGCTCGTTGCTGCTGGGCCTGGACGCGACCGACCCGGACGAGGGCCCCAACGGTGACGTGGTGTTCGCCTTTGGCGCGGTGGGCGGCCGCCGTCCTGGGCCACCAGCTCCAGGCTGTAGGCGGCCTGGCTCTCGCGGTCCAGCTCCTGCAGCAGCACCAGATCTGCACACACCGGGCGCCGTCCGCACGCGTCTGCAGCTCCACGCTGAAGGGGCTGTTTGGCTCGGTCAGGCGCATGGTCTGCAGACCTTTAGGCCCCACGTCTTCGTCCGCCAGCACCTCCAGGGGGATGCGCGTGCCCACCGCCGTGCGCTGGGACACCTCCACAGGGATCTGGGCCCGAGGGAAGCACGGTGCTTGGTCGTTGACTTCCCTCACCTCCACCTCCACGTGCACCAGCCGGAACTGCTCCTGGGAGAAGCTGACCAAGTCTAAGGCCAGCACGCACTGCGGGGCTTGGCCGCACAGCCGTTCGCAGTCAAGGCCTGCGTCCCCGACAGTCAGGTGGCCGTCGCCCTCACGCACCCGGACCAGAGAGCTGATGAACATAATCAGGCGGAAGTAGCTTGGCACCTTATTCTGGGAATCAAACTGAACATAGTCAAAGAGAACACTGATGAGGGTACCAGGGGCTTCTTCCTCATGGGTGAGGAAATTGACAGTTTTGATGCAAGACCCTGATAGTAAGAGCAGCCTCAAAAGCAGCAAGAACTCCAGTCCAACCCATTCTAAGGTGTCACCAGGAAATCTGAGCCTTCTGCCAGACAGACATCTTTGTTCCTCAAAAAGAGAAGCCGATTTCAGGCTCTGCACTGAGATTTCTAGTTCTCTCAAGCCCTCCAGAGTGTGCAGTCAGAAGACACTTGCCTCCTTAAGCACATCTCATCACTAAACCTTCTCTGCTGTGTAATTGCTTTTCTCTGCCCCGGGGCCTAAGTATGCCTTTGTAGAATCCGAAGTGGTGGGAGCTTAAATAGACAAGAATATGCAAATGAGCACCTGGTCTGGCCAATCCGCAGAGTGTCTGGGCCTCTGGAACACGTTGCTCCCTTAAAAGGCATACAGAAGGGCCTGGAGAGCTGAACAGTGCAGGGGGTCATTAAGATCCGTACAGGAAAAAAAAAAAATGCTATCTGTTGTTCTATCCCCGGTACCAAAGGAAAAAAAAAAAAGATACATACAGAATTTGCACTGCACAAACACATCCTGCTTCCCTTTCAGTGTGTGCCCTCTCACTTTGATAATAAGATCAGGAAACCCACAGCTCTCTACTCTCTCCTAAGCACATTTACTTCTTCCTCACAGGCACAATTGCTCTTCTCTTTACCACTTGAGATGAACATACATGCCCCGTGCAGAATATCCTTTGCCACCCACAGTTATCCAGCTATGCTGGGCTATCATTTCCCGTCTTGAAGGCTTCTAAGACACAGCTTCTCCAGAGTGTGGCAATGTCTAATCAGAGAAGAACTGTTTTCTGAAGTAATCATTTCTGAATAGCCTTTCTATAGCAAAGAAACCATTAATGATGAAATCTCAGCTCTTTCATCTCTTTTTATGCCAGTAATTACTTATATGTGAGGAATCAGTGGCAGACAGGGAGGACTGTCAGCCATACTGCACTGTAAGGGATAGTCAAGGGTAAGAAAAAGATTTGGGGAAATATATTTCAGTCAGTCTTGTTAAAAAAAAATTGCTGTAGACCAATTATTTTCAAAAAGCCCACGGCTGAAAAAACCCACAGGTGGCTTCATAGGCAGAAGGCTAAGGAAACTTTAAACCATCTGTCTAAAGCACAATAAATACTCCTGTGTTAAATTCTCTTTATGTGTGAAGTGTTCTAAATGCTAAACAGTTTCACATGTTAATGATGACATTGTTCCTCATGCCACGGAGGAGTCATCAGTGCAGAGTGCTCTTCAACTGTGAGACCAAAAGTGACTCCATTTTGCTAATGTGAGACCAGAATGACTCCATTTTGTCCAAGATGGAGCAGTCTCCTTTATTCTTTCAAATTAATGATTAAATATGCTTAATCTGGGACAAAAGACATGATCTGTAACTCAAGATTCCTAAGCTCATTACTCAGCCATCTGTTTGCCCTAGAAACAAGTGTCCTGTGCCCACTATCTATAGGACAATCTGTTAACGTGCTGACTATCCACACAAGGCGGTCATGACCATGAGTCAAGATGTCTGCTGACCATCAGTCCGTGACAGTAGACCACTAACCTTTGTCCCCATTTTTCTTGTAAAAACCTATACGTAATCCCCTTCAACCCCCAATGAGCCTAGCCAATCAAAATTCTACACTTCATACTTGCTAAATGTTAACCAATCATATGGCTGCTAATGACCGAAGCTTGCTGTAACCTCTATAAAAACCCTGCTAATTTGGAACTCGGGGCTCTCAATCTTGATCCGCTGTGTCAGTGACAGTTGAGAGTCCCTGCTTAAGCTTGAATAAATGACCCTCGTGTGCTTACATCGGAAACGGCCTCCTGGTGGTCTTTGGGACTTCGTAATCTGGGCACAACACAACTAGTCATCTTGAATGAGCAAGCAGGCCAAGTTTTAATACACCCAAGCTTTCCTTGGCTCCGCCATGATCTGTAATATTACTGATTCCTGCAAGGACATGTCAGTAAATGACTCTTTTTTCTTTCAATATGAGGAAAGAATTGGCTTTTATTTTAGCACCAGGACATGAATCCAGCTCTGAAACTGAGCCACTTTTGATGAGATCACTAATTTTCTGAGGTTTTAATTCAGTGGACCATTTGGCAATGACTCTGATTCTAAGTACTAATAACCATTTTCATAGAAGTATAGTGGGAAGCAAGAGCTGATTTTGGTAGGGTACTCTGAGATCCTAAGAAAAGAAAGTACTTCATTTCATTTGTTATAAACTTTTAATCTTGCCCGATGAGGCATCAGTCTGAAAAACGAAACAGCTCAACTTCATCATTAGTAAAAACAGATTATTTTTAAGACAGTATCCTTGATGGCATGTGAGACAGTTTTCTTGGTTAAAAGTAAATATTCCAAGGAAGCTCCTCATTATTCAGCCTGTGGCTCCCAGGGGACATGAGAGGATGTTCGTCCCTCCACTCAGCATTTTAGTTCTTATACAGCCTATATGTGAAACAGCTTCGGTTGATGGTTTTTTAAAGCCCATGCTTTCATATACATTAGCCAGGAGAGGGACCCATTTCACCACAGTCCAAATCTGTTCTCCTTCCTTCTCTCACACAACCCGGCCAGGCCTGGCTTCTGCTAGTCTTCAGCATTGTTGTTATCATTCATGATCAGAATAACCATTCAGAATGCAAAATAGTCTTAAGACTCTATCTGAAAAACATCAAAAGATCCAGATAAAATCTGAGAAAGGCAGGCAATCAAACATATTACTTTCACAATCCCAAACATCTGGATGCTTATGTTTGGAAACATCCAGTGATGATGTTTAAATGCTTGATTGCATTTCCCCACTTTTCCTCCAGCTGTTCAACATCAAGTAGACTATCCACAGTAAGGAATATGCTATGCTGTTAGTGATTCATTATTATCAGTATCATTGTTTCATAGTAAACAACCACCTTATTAAAACACTGCTTTGTGAATGAAGGACAGCTGGAGTTTTAGGAAAAAAGACATTTTCTGAGGCAAAAACCGATTCTGTGCCAGTAGAGTGCCAAACTTCATAATATAGAAACTGGATGATCTGTCCCCCTGGGGATGTGTCATGGGAAGCTGTGTTTATAGCCCTGAGCTGCTGGTACTCTCATGTTCCATTCTGTTAGCTCTGTTAGATAAAAATCTGTCTCAAAGTTTGCTTTATGTTGCTTGTTTTCTCATTTGCCACCATATTGCCAAACTATATGTCCATAACATGTATTTTGACCTCTGTTGGAGTCAAGCATAAAGCAAAATAAACAAGATCAAAGGAGATGCCACTACCAAAAGGAAACCAAAATGCAAATAAGGCAGCAATTTGTTCCTCTTTCTCAGTTTGGTTTTAAAACAAGAGGATTTGGTGAACTTTCTACAGAGTTTGTCTTTGTTACTAAAACAAAAACACCAGACATATTAATGGTCCTTCAAAATGTCAGGAACTCAGATCTGTAATGCAGTATTTACATTCTGATCATTTAAATAAAAAGATTTTCTGTTTTGCTAAACACGTAACACTAAGATAGTGCTTTACACACTAGAGCACCTTGTAGGTAAACTAAAGTAACTTTCACTAAAAGCATGGAGGGGGGAACTAGCCTCTAATTCATAATAGTGTTTATGCCCTTGCATAGTTCTCCTTTCCTAATACACAAAACTAAAAAGATATATTTGGGAAAAAATAGGCCATAGAAAATTCCCAATGCACAGATTTTGCTGACTGTGTTCATGGGTTGTAGTAAGCATCAACTTTTAAAGGACCCTGAACTAGTACTTCCTTAGGCCACAAACAGTTTCAGTGCCATTTAGAACAAATCATTCTGTGTTCTATACTGGGACTCATTTTCATTTCATTTTCAACTGAATAAGCATTCTGGAGCTAAATGAGTAAAATCTTATCAAATGCAATGTTGCTGTCTTCAAGGAGTAGGTTCCAGAAATCGAAGCTTTTAGATATCTTTGTAAGAAAACAAATCTACCTAACAAGTTTTTAATTTTTTTAATTTTTGAAAAATCATAGTTTCAAAAAGCTAAAAGTAATCTTTAGCAGCATAAGCCCCAAGCAGAGAAATTGTCTTTCAGTTCACTCACATTCTTGTTACCCCTTTGAACACTAAATTTGTTATTAGGTTTTTGACTGTGCCAACTTTTATAAGGAAATTTAGCAAAATGCTTGTCTTTCTTGGAAAATCATTCCCAGGAAAATAATTCAGCCTTGAAGTCAGCCAAAATATCAATCATATGCATAGCAGAGAAACAAATGATATTTTGTCAACTATGTAAGTGTTTTACCCCAGAGAAAAATCACAGAAAAGCAGTTGGGAGTATCAACATTAATCACAAGCTCCCCTTAACATAAAATAAGCACATAATCTTCACTTCAAAAAAAGTTTCCCATAATGATCATTATGTTAATAAAGATATCAAAATTCTGTAATCTTAAAACGCTACATAAAAGTAATAATTTTTAACTACTGATTTTATTAATGTTCCTGCATGAAAGAAATTAAGTCATCGAATACTGAAAATCATTTTACTGTTTTGATTCAGGAATGCCTCAAATTCCAAGTGAGCCAGTGAAATTGACTTTGGTACTTAACCTTCAGTCATCAGCTAAAGTATCAAGTTTGGTGTCTCTCTCCTCCTACAGGGAGGAGACTTTCTCTCCCACCATAGAATATAGTAAAGCAAGAGGAAAACAAAAGAATAAATGCTGAGAAGCAATTTTTCATCTGTGCTTTTTTTTGGTACCAGGGATCGAACTCGGGACCTTGCGCTTATGAGGCAGGTGCCAGAACCACTGAGCTAAATCCCCAGCCCATCTGTGCTTATTTTAACTCTCATCTATTTTCCTCTTATCTGAGCCCCTCCATTCCTACCCAAACCAGTATAAAAGCTAGTATCCATGACTAATTAGAGCACTTTCAGGCCCTTTAGAAGCAGTTATCTGATCGCATACTGGTGATTCAGTAAACCACACAGCCTTGCTAGAAGAAAATACTTCAGACATCCATTTTTGTGATTCAGAGATGGTCACAAAATAAAAAGTAACCTCAGAGTTTACAAATAAGAGTACAGTTAGCTAGAATTGCCAGGGATGGAAACCTAACAGTGATGTGATCAAGATGCAGAGAAAGGCAGACAGAGTCCTGTAAAAGACCCTAATACACCAGTTAGTTGGAATGAATGGATCAATGAGAGCAATGTGCAAGACATGTTTGAATGCTTGGCACAGGTAACACAGACTGATGATACCCTGAAAATGTCAATACTTCTAAGGAGGCAGTGAGAAAGCACCAAGGTTTGTGGATTAAGAGATTGTTGGTATGTATTTTAGTATAATAAATAATATATATCATCACCTTCTCTAAACATTTTAAACTAACATCCAATTTTAAACTAACATTCTATGCAATGATTGGCTTAGAATATCAATGATTGGCTTGTATGAATGATCAAGACAAAATTGTATTCAACTTCTCCCACCCTCAAAACTTACCTGGTAGCAGAATGACTTCAAGAGAAATAGGAAGCAAGGAGAAATCCAATTAAGCTGCCTGTGGCAATCTAAGGACAAGATGTTGAAAATCTGAACAGTGAGTAGGAGGATGTATTGGGTGAAGATCTGGGGAGCAATGTGATGGAAGAATTAGTAGGACTTCATGATAAGCTCTAGGAAATGGAAAAGATGAAACAAATAAATTGTTCTAAAGACTTAAAGATTGGTCGTGCTTTCTCAGTATTCCTGAGTATTAAACAAAATGATTTTCCCAAATAAAGTCCAGAAAGATTGCTGCTACTCATTAGCTAAATGACCAAAATCAGAAGATCTAATGTCTCCTAGCCTTGTCTTTGGGGAAGACTGTTTACTTTGAGGGGTTGCTTTGAATTCTAAGTAAGAAAATGTGGGAAGAACAAAAGAGCAAGCATTTAGCACTTGGTGGGCTCTCAAAAGACAACTGTGTGGGAGATGGGGATTTAGCTCAGTGGTTTTGCCTCCTGCTGCACAGGCTCAAGGGCTGGAGTTTGATCCCCGGTACCAAAAAACAAAAAAAGACAACTCTGTCCTTTGTTGTAGGCATTTGCACACTGCATTGTGGTTTATTTATTTGAGGGTATACTTCTCACCCCATTATAAGTCCTTTTGAGTATAAACCATATCTTCATCAAATTGATAAGCCAGTCCTCAGTCTAGTGCCTACCACGTGAAAGGGACTCATTAATACTAGCGAGGAATCCCCCACACACACACTATTTCTGTGAAATACCACATTATCTGAATTCAAAACTATGAAAACCACTAACAAATCATAAACTTACTGTCTCTAATTAGTATATTATGAGACTTCTGTAATAAGTGAAACATATTGAATAACATTTGAGACTTGGTCCAGCCACATATAACAACTGCTTTCTTGCCTCAGTTTCAACACTAACATATCAGGACAAGTAGGAAATTTGTTGTTTTAGCCTGCTCTGCATCTAGTTTTGTTTCAAGAAACTGTCTAGGGCTGGGGATTTAGCTCAGTGGCACTGTGCCTGCCTAGCAATCGCAAGGTCCTGAGTTAGATCCCGGGTACCAAAAAAAAAAAAAAGTTGCTAAACCTGTTTTGCTCACTTCAGCAGCACATACACTAAAATAAGAAACCATCTACTCACCAAAGCAATCCACTTAAGTAGAGTATAATGGACATCCCCTCAATCCTTGGCCGCATGATCTAGCTTAGCCAAATAGAGGATTCTATCTGCCTACCTTCATTGATTGATTCAGGTAGATGCATGTGTCCCAACTGTGGCCATTCAGAAAGTTGTTGATCTCAGAAGATGTAGACTAGAATCTGAAACCACAAGGTTTGGAGTGCCTTTCTGAGAATAAAGTCAAAATTTTGCAAAAAGCTGATATGGCATTTAGCAAATAGATTCAAACATTCCTGATCTCCTGCTAAAGATTTTTATCAAAGAAAAACTATATGTCTGCCATTCTGCCAATTAGTGGTTGATTTTCTGTCACTAGTCTCCTAAAAAAATATCATGAATTCCAAAATCAGGGAAGAAATTGTCAGTTACAGGCCCAAACATGAATAATTAGCTGGGGTGGGGAAACAAGGAGGGAATGTTGGGGACCTATTAATGATAAATTGAAAAGGGTGACCTGAATTCTTGTTAGGTGTTTACACAGTTGCTGGTAAATTCTTGCTCATATTTAAGACACAATGAATCTGTTAAAGCCAGAGCCTAAGGGTCAGGGATTAGAAGGGCTCGGCTACAGTTACATGAAAAAGATAGTCTCCTACTAAACATAGTTCCTCTGAAAGTGACAAAGACCAAAAATAATAATATTGCTAAAATAGACCTTTTCTGACTAAGGCCATCAACTCAACAAGGCTGATAGTTGGAAACCTTGATACACTTTAAGAGTAAAAAACACAACTATTTTACCATTAAACTAAAACTATTGCAAGAAAATAAATCCAAAAAAAAATTACAAAGAGTGAGGCCTCACCAAGCCTTAACTGCCAAACTTTAGTATGGTATATGTAACTAAAGAAAAGTGACAATAGCCTCACAAGAAAAATCTATCTCTGGAATGCATTCTGGGCCAATGGGGCATATTAACTGTGATTCTTGTCAGGTAAAAGGGTGGAAAACCAAGACCAGACCGGGCCACAACAAGGCTT